TGCTATGGTATGATGTTATGATGTTATGTACATGTATGCGAAAGCAAGTAAGTGTATATACAGACAATCATATTCACACAAAGCAAACAAGTCCTTAGGTTTAGGCTTGCATGGGGTTGTAGGTAAGTACCCTCTTGAAGTTAGTTGGCTCATCCTGTCCTAAAATAGAAACTGGGTTCTAAGGAGCTCAATATCATTGGATTGTTTTCTGTGTTCATTGTTTTGATTTAGCCACTTAACTGGCGACCAAAATATTCCAAGAAAACAACCCTCAATGAGTGTAGTATCGAGTATCTACCAACTTCGGACTGCACCAAAGTCGGTCATCTCACTACCCCTAAAAAGGCTAAGATGGTCAATTAAGGTTCTAAGAGTTCGTTAGTGCTTCACGACATCACTCAGCGGCCCCGTACTCTCCTTGACTGAACTCAAGGGTTACCGGTACTTACAAATATGTCACACTAACATAGCTTACTGCTTCAACCATGTCGGTATACCCCGCACAGTTCCCTCACAGTTTTTTGCTATTTACCTAAAAAGGTGCCCCCAAATCCGGGTGTACAATTTTCAACAAACCCAAACAAGGAGCCAAAAAAGTAAAGCAATCAAGGCAATCAAAGCAATAATGTAAAGGTGATCTAAACCCTAAGGTAACCCCACTTTTAGATTTCTCCCCAGCAGAGTCGCCAGTTCTGTGATACGGTGGGAGAACTGACTTGAGTTTTGCGTTTGTATTCGCAAATGTTTCGGTTGAGCAAGAGTCGCCACCGACTTTTTATTTTATCCTAAAGGAAAGGTTAAAAAGCACAGGAAAAACCTTTTGAGATGTTTCGTGGGTTCGGGGGGTAGATTATGAAAAGGGAAGGTATTAGCACCCTTTTCATCCATGGTTATCCATGGGCTCTTAGTTACTTGTTTAGATCACTTGCCTTGATTTTCAATTGCTTGAAATTGTGGTGTGTGTGTGTGTGTTTTTGAAAATGTTTTTGAAGAAGACGCCTTGTCTTAGGCAACCAATGTAATGACTCGTGTTTGAGTATATACAAAGGTGTGTATCTTTTCGAAAAGATGTTTCAAAATGTTTTTGGAAGTTTGTTTTGAAAGTGTTTGTGGAGTGTGGTTTTGAAAAGTAGGCAAGTGTTTTTGCAAGTTGATCAAGTAACTAAGAGTTTGTCTACCCTATTGTACTCAAAGGTTTTTCTCATGTTTTAACCCTTTTAACAATTTTGTTCCACCATTGTATTTGGTGGACAATCTTGTATTAGGATGTTTAACGGGACAGGCGCGGGTCATCGTATGGACCATGAATGCAATGGTGCCAAGTGTCTTTGGCAATTTGCTTGAAGGGACTGTGATCATTTTGATTAGGCAACTTTCGAAAGCGTCATCGAGGGACTATGATCATTTGAATTGTTTTGTTTTGCCAAAGATACTCAACGTGCAAGCATGGCCCATTTTGGAAGGCAACATGTGGGATTACCCTAGGGGTGCAAGTGTGAATTGTGTATTGATTTCATGCATTTGTCTTGTATTAGGTTATCTAGCGTTTGATTTTATGTACATACAAACCCTAGGTCTAACCATGGTATATTTGAAAGCGATAAATTGCGGGAATTTAAAGTCTACGCTATTACAAATAAGTATCCGGGAGTGGGGGTACAAATTTACAAATGGGGATGAGACTTATATAAGAGAGTGGTATCCCAATATTTACAACCAAATCGAATTAATCGTAAATGTAAATGTAAAGTAATGTACAAGAATAAGTAAATGTGTATGTGTAAATGAATTTGTGTAAGTGTGTATGATTTATTTACAAGTGAAATAAAAATAGAAAAGGTTAATTTTTGGATATTTTCATGTTTAGGGCAAAACTCTAATTTTGTAAATAAAAGATATTTATTATGTATTATATACAATATTTATTAATTATGTACAAAAAATAAATAAAAAGAAAGTATATTGTAAAAAAGTGATTTTTGAAGTCAAATATTAATAAAAATAAAAATGTATTATTTTGTATTTTTGTCCTAAATATTCTAATAAATATATATATGTATTTATATTATTTACTAAATGTATTAAATATGTACAAAAATAAAATATTTAATATTTACAAAAAAAATATATTTTTTAGAAAATGTTTTCAAAAGATAAAATAAAATAAAATCAGAACATAAAATGTATTTTGTATTATTTTTTTAATATTTGAATAAAAAGTAAATACCTATTTATTTACATATATCAAATAAAACAAATAAATGCCTAAAAAATACAAAAAGAAGGTGAAAAATATTTTTTAATGTTTTTTATATTTTAACAAAAAATAACAAGTCAGAAACAAAAAGAAAAAGTCAAAAAATGATAAAAATAAACACAATGGGCCAAGGGGGTGCAAGTGGAAAATGAGTGTGCAAATAGAAAGAACAAGTCAGGCCCAGCCCAAAGCAAGCTTCTTCAACCTCCAGCAACAATTTTGTCAAAAACGCGCGCCTTTCCCACCTTGTTCAAATATCCTGATTCTTTGATTTTTAGCACAAACTTATAACACAAAAAATGTCAAGCATCAAACCACGAATCCATACATACCAAGAACTTGATCTAACTCTCAGAAATGAGAGAGAATTTCTTCTCCCCCAATTCTTGATCTAACTTTTTCCTAATGTTCAGGTTCCAAATTCTCTTAACACACACAATATAAATGAAAAGTGAGAATACAGGTAGCTTCAGGGCCATGAGTAGGACATAATTTCTTCACAAACCTAAGCCTAAATATGCTTGGATAGAGAGATAGAAGTTCAAGAACTTACCTTTTCAGCTTGAAACGTGTACAACAATGGAGGTGCTTTCAATGGATTTTGAGGACTTGTACAACTTGCTTGAACTTTAGGGATGCTTTTCCAATGCTTGGTGTGTCTTGAATCTTACTGTATCAAGCTATAGAAGTCCACCTGTAAAGTTGAAAACTGAAAATGGCAAGTGATGGTAGGGATGTTACAGTTACAGTTCAATGCTTGGAATAGTTTGTATGGATGTTATGGAAGGTGTTTGAGGTGGTTTGGATGAAAACGCACGAGGGAAATGAACTGTGGAAGTCAATATGCAGAAGATACCCTGTTTTGCCACAAAACTGTGTTTTGATGGATGAGGGAGTTTTAGGGATGGCTTGGTCGTGTTTCAGCTCAGTTATGATGTTTGGAATGTGCTCAATAAGTTTGCTTAAGCTTCTCTTGACAGGAATGTGAGTTGGTGTTCAAAATGCAAAGTTTCTTCTTAGATAAGCAAAGTTTGTCAACCTGGATTCTAGGCTACCACAGGCCCCTCAAGTATGCTGCAAATGTTAGTCTTGATCAGTGGGATATGTCCATGCCTTTGTGTCTCAGAGATTTACTTTGTACTTCTTGGATTTGTGTTTGACATAAAGTTGTGCTTTACAAGAATGGATAACTTGCTTTTTCTATTTAAGGCTTAATTCTTCATGTAATGACCAAATGAGCAAAATAATGCTAGAACACAATGGATTGGCATTTAATTATTGAGTGTAAGAAGGATTAGAGGCCTGTAACTAGCTTGTGTAAGTTGATTTCAAAAATGCCCAAGTTATGAACATGCATTTGGCCATGAATCAAAGTGACTTTTGCCTATATTGACAAGTTCGATTCTCCCTAACCACAAGGGTGTTTGAGAAGTTCTTGGATAATTTGGAAAGCTTGGAATGTGTACTACAATCCATCTTTGTAATGCAAGTTGAAATTCCAAGTGGAAGCATGTGAAAAATGGCCATGAAGTTAGGCAAAAATCCTGCCTAGAATAGGTCAAAATATTTCTAAGTTAAGAATGTTTTGCACCCTTGTTCCAAAAATCATAACTTGAGCTACAAGCTTCTTTTGAGGAAACTTTGTGAAGCAAAGTTGTAGATTTTGAGATAGAATATAACTTTCATGTTTTGAGTTTTGTTTGAATCCAAATGTATCTTGATGAAAAGATGAGACAAAGTTAAGAAAAAATTAGGGATTTTCATAACTTAGAAAAATTCTAAGTTATGAAAATTCTTCATTTTAAACCCTAATTTGTAATTTTTGATTTCTTGATGAACAAGTTTCATAATTTGACATGTCTTGATGAAAAATGAATCTTGACACTTGATTTTGACCAAAAAGTCAAAGTTTGACTTTTCAGTATACAGTCAAATTTTGCTCAGTTGACTGGAAAATTCATCTGTCAATGTTGTGCAATTGGGATCTTTTGAATTTGTTGAACATGTCAAGACAATGCCATTGGGTCCTTGAGTCCATATGTGAGCTTGAATTGCCATTGGTTAGGTCAAACAGTCAAGAATTGCCTTTGTGCAGTCAAAACCCTAAAAATGACCATTTTGCCCTTTTGGTGATCTAATCAAATTTCTTGTGGAATTGTGATCCAAACTTGATCAAATGGTCCATATGAGTTCATAATGTTGATGTGGGTCAAATTTCATGAGGTTTGACTATCAATTGGTCACAGTTGACTTTTCCCCCAATACAGCTGATTTCTAGGTCAACTGTCCAATTGACTGGGCAAAGATTGGAATCAAGGCTTGAAACTTGATATGGATAAACTTGTGAGTCCAACATGAAGCATGAAAGTCATTTTGGGCCTTTTAGGTCAAAACATCTTTGTGCAACCTCAAACCCTAATTTGTGTCAACAGTGCAAGGAGGGGTCTTGAGCAGAGCAAACCCTAACTTGATCTTGAGCTCCCAGAGTCTTGTGGTGAGAAAATATTGAGAAATGAGAGGGTAAATTTTGGGGTACAACACTTGGCATACAAACTAACTCAGATTAAAGAAGGCATGCACAATGCCATTATGAAGAACAATACTATGTAGAAGGAAGCTTCACATAAATCCATCGAGCCAAGAAGAAACCTAGAACAGGTCAAAAAATCTTTAAGCCGCTCACGACACAGGATGTAGGGGCATCCACACTCCTCCCGAAGTCTGCTGACCTAGGAGGAGAGAAATGAACGAAGAAGAGGCCCCTGATCAACCGAAGAAGAAGAATCATTTGTATGCTTGTATGTTGGACGACAATGGAATTGAAGGCTTGGACAAGCATGCTGAGCATGTGGACGGCTGAGAAATGTTAGAACTATCTAGGTACCAAACACAAATTTTGGGCGACCGAAAGAGGAAAGCAAACACATACCCCTTTTAAAGTTTGACTTGTATACTCCCTTGAACACTTCGCGATATACAATATAGAGAAAGATCGATAAGCTGATGTTCGTCAGCAGGAAGGAATGGAACACCTCTCACAATGAACCAAAGAGACCTATCATCAGATTTTAGGATATCGAGAAGGTTGGAGGAGTTCTTACCAAAAATTTTCCTTTGGTTATAACAGTCCTGATCTCCAACTTCGACGTATCCCGAATACTGATTGATGGCAGAAGTTCTTGAAATATTATGTATGCAGATTTATCTCTTCGAGAAGATGGGATTGAAGAAAGAAAATTTGTGGCCTTATAAAGGGTCTGATCGGCAAGCCTTCAATGACACCGTAACCCTCTGACCCTGGATGCAGTGGCATCCCCGGTTCACCTCAATTTGAAGTACCACAACATACATAATAAGTCGGTGACAATCGATGTTGATCTTTCAGAAGTGAAAAGGATTTACAAGGCCCTTTAGGAGGGATCTGAAGAAGGTGAGGTTAAGGCCGTGGAAATCAACATGGCCTTTTTGATCGGGCAACTGGAACACATGGCCATCAAGCCTCCTACGAGTATCACAATTCGTCTAGACTAGACAAAAAGAAGTGGGTGATCGTAATTGATCTGGATAACAATTTCCACACGACCAACAAGCGACAATTATGCAACCCAAATATTTTAACTTTATTTTCTTTTATTTTGTAAAAATCAAGATGCATTACAATCATTCAATTAAAGGAATTTTCACTCCCTAAATCATTTTTTACCCTTCAGATTATGAAAAGTAATTATAATTTCAGGGAACAACCAAAGAGATTGAAGCACCATCAAAAAGACTCAAGGGTGATGCTACAAACGCCACATGATTATGACAAAAGCAATAAAAATCCCATGATACAACATTCACACACACATAACACCTATACACACATAACACCAACACACATAGAGAAAGCAAGCCTAAAAATGGCAAATAATTGAGTCACCCCTTCTTGATAGTTAACCACTTGAGAGACAATAGTGGGTCTGACAATGCGTCAACCTCATACCAAATTTTCACCTGGGGACATGGGTAGGGGTACCGATCCTTGGTCAGGCATGGTCCCTGATGTGAAAATAATATTTTGATGAAATATTATTTCCTTTGCAAGGATGTGATATTACCTGTGTAACCATTCCATAGATTTATTTTATTGATAATTTGGTTATATGTTCCACAGGTATAATTTCTCAGTCTCTCTTCGCATAAAGTTTAACTAAAATACAAAGCAGTTTGCCGCTAATCTATTGCGTGAGATCAATAGTTTCCGTCTACGAAGTTGAAATTGTATGATAATCATTAAAGAAACTCTATTAGATAATAACCTCCCCTTCTCGATTAAAAAAAAAAAGATTAGAGATTTACATAAATCTGACTTGAGTCAGAACTAGAGGAAAATCTAGAAAAAGAAACTCAGAAGGGGTAATTCCAGTTCCTGGTTATCCAAGTTCTTAAACGTTGATTCTTGATTTTGCTGTGTATGATGCTTTCTCACCATTTTAATGCATATTGTGTATTATGGGGTTGGATAACTTGCCTTGAACTGTCTTGATGTATTATGATAACTTTCTGTCATCCCCTGAGGATACTTTCACACAGCCATCTGTAATGCTGAGGATTTCGCAACACTACTGTGAACCATGACCTCAATTTCATTTCATTTCATAGGACAACCTTCCAAAACAACGCCAACATTTCCTCACAATCAATGACTACCAGTTAATGGTGGACAGCAATGCTCCTTTTGCTAGGAAATTTGGCAGAAGTGAACCTGATATATGGTTCAATGCAAATGGTTAAGTGCCTGGTATATGGTTCAGAAAGCAAATTCAAGCATCACTAAACAGTATTCCATCGTAAGAGATATAACTGAACTTGAGCTTGGTACCGGAGCAGAAAGGCTGAAACAAATTATCAGTGATTTACCATCAGCAGAAGACTTTCACGCAAATTAGTGTTCTTGACACCCGCGAAACCGAAAAAAATGCTAAATTGCTCTTTGCTACTTGCTCATCACCAAACAGATGAGAGGAAAAAGGTTGCTGTGAAATGAAAAATAAAAGATGAGTAACAAACTGGAAAACAGAAATGCCTATTTCTGATTTTACACTAATTTGTAGCCATAATGTATCAGCTAGTACATAAAAATCACAAAAGTTTAGTGCATGATGGATCATTATTGCAATTGTGGTACTCTGTATAACTAGAGCAAATTATGAAAGTAAATTAATAAAGCCTGAGAGGAAGATGTCTATAATGCTCACACAAACCAGTATAAAATATCTCCAAATTCTTTATGCAATGATATGCTCTAGTATTAACTCTTGACTTTATAGGCACTTGCACCAAATGACTACAATGATACTATAAATTAATTAATAAGATAACTTAGCACTGAAAATTACCTTTACACCCATTACTAGATGTGCTCTAAATTGTCCATCTTGAGAATTGAATCAAGCAACCTGCACATTTCCAGTGCTTGTGGATGAGACTGGTCACCAGCAAGAAACTCTTCAACTTCATTCCCCACCTCTATAATGCTGCATCCAGGTTTCTTCTTCATCCCTGCTTCTGAAATCATACTCCTAACTCTGCTTGCCTCTGCATCCCATCCAGCTTCTCTATATATGTTATACGTAAGAACATGAGTACCACAATCAGCTACTCCCATATTAATCAGCTTTTTCCACACTCTGTTCCCAACATTAATATTCTTATGAATTCTACACGCATTCAGTATAGCACCCCACACATTAGCATCGCCAGCTGCAAATCCACCCATCTTCTCCTCAATAAACCTCTCGGCTTCCACCACCATGCCAGCCCTAGACAAAAGGTCCACAACACACGCGTAATGCTCCGCACACGGCTCAACTCTGTAAGTTCCACTCATCTCTTCAAATAACCGAAGACCTTCCTGAACCATCCCCGCATGTGTACAAGCAGTAAGGACAGCCACAAAGGTAGTCTCATTAGGGCGACTTCCAGAAACAACCATTTGTTGAAACAACTTCAACGATTTCCTGGCATCCCCATTCAAGGCCACACCAGAAATCATAGCATTCCAAGCTCCAACATCCTTATCATAAATACCATAAAAAACATCCAAAGCCGATTCCACACATCCACACTTTGAATACATGTCAACAAAAGCCGTCGCAAGGATGGGATTCGAGCTTATCCTCTCGAATTGCCTTGCATAGGAATGTACCCACATTCCCTGAGTAAGTGCACCCAGATGCGCACATGCAGTAAGCACAGTAACAAGTACAGAGGCATTCGGCTTCATGCCTTCATTCTGCATCTCTAAAAACAAAGCCAGCACTTCCTTAAAGTCATTAACACGAGAATAAGCTGCCATCATTGCACTCCACGACACAACATTTCTGTCAGGCATTTCATCAAACAGCTCTCTCGCACTTTCAACATCCCCTATTTTGCCATAACCATCAATCATGGCCGTCCACAAAACAACATCTTTCTTCATTGTTTCATCGAATAACACCCTCGCCTTATGCAAGTCGCGCGAAGCAGAATAAAATTCTATAAACGCACTGACGACATAAGGGTCATGGGCACAATTGTGGGCTTGGGCTGAAAAACAAATATTTCAATCTTTTGAATATTTTCATAAAAACAAGTCAAGATACAATCCATAAGGATAATTCAAATAGAAAAATATTCCTCCATATTTTCGCAGCCTATGAGTCACAAATCCTGAATTATGGCACGCATGAAAACAGGAAACAAAAAACTTAAACTGACATGAGTTGCGTTCAGCTCAGGAGGCAGATGTCAAGACATCTGCTTTGACATCGTTCAAAAACAGTTTGTTCCAAATGTCAAGACATTTAGCAAAACATTATCAAAACATTGTTTTATCAAAATTGCTGCCAACAAACACTTACAGTCATATGTATGAGGTTATCATCTGTTTTGGGTTCACCACAAGGTAAAAAAAATGAAAACCTAATAGCGAAGTAAGAAGCTATCGCATGAAAAGTAGGCAGATTTTTACCTCTATGTCAGAGTATCCATCACGAAGATACTATGTCAATCTCCAAGAATCAATCCAAGGGTTGACCATATCTCACACACATATAATTACTACCCATCTCTCGTATTTAAATAGAAAAACACACGACCCTTCAGATATTCAAATCATTTCCCTTCAATTCCCACTTTTCACTATCTTATTGAGTTGAGCATTAAAGTGATAACCTTGCAGATCTACCCTCTCTCCACCACATCGGAAACCTCGAACCATACCAATAAGTCGAAAATTCATCATCTTTAATCATCACATAGTTCCAGAGCAAAACATTGACATCACCTTTGGAAATCGACTTTTGATTCCTACGATTTCCACGATCCATCGTTTCTCGATTCAACCGAATCAGATTCAGATCTTATTCGATTATCAAAATTATTCGTTATAATATTTATGGTATTAGAGAGTATTCATAATTTCATTTGTTAAACTTGATGTTTTAAAAGAAGCACAAATATCCATCATCAAATTAATTACATCAAGTTCAGAGTTAAACTCTTTCCATCAGATCCATCAGACTATGACAGCTTCTAAAGCCACTTGTTCCCCTGCCTCGTCCTTGAGGGATGGATGATCATGTTTTTGACTACTACTCATTTTGTCCAGCCTAGAGTAGATCAAGAAACTTTTTAACTTCCTCCATTTTCCAGATTCGCTCCACGAAATCACCTAGGCGAACCTTCCTCCAGACCTACGTTACCGCATACTATAACCAGACACATATCACTTCCAAATTTCTAGGTCTTACAGGATAATCGTGGTCTACAAGGAGATAATGAGTTGCATAACATCATGTACCAGATGGCTTAGCAACAAAACTCCCATGCCTTGGCATACAAACTAACTCAGATTAAAGAAGGCATGCACAATGCCATTATGAAGAACAATACTATGTAGAAGGAAGTTTCACATAAATCCATCGAGCCAAGAAGAAACCTATAAGAGGTCAAAAAATCTTTAAGCCGCTCACGACACAGGCTGTAGGGGCATCCACACTCCTCCCGAAGTCTGCTGACCTAGGAGGAGAGAAATGAATGAAGAAGAGGCCCCTGATCAACCGAAGAAGAAGAATCATTTGTATGCTTGTATGTTGGACGACAATGGAATTGGAGGCTTGGACAAGCATGCTGAGCATGTGGACGACTGAGAAATGTTAGAACTAGCTAGGTACCAAACACGGATTTTGGGCGACCGAAAGAGGAAAGCAAATACATACCCCTTTTAAAGTTTGACTTGTATACTCCCTTGAACACTTCGCGAGATACAATATAGAGAAAGATCGATAAGCTGATGTTCGTCAGCAAGAAGGAATGAAACACCTCTCACAATGAACCAAAGAGACCTATCATCAGATTTTAGGATATCGAGAAGGTTGGAGGAGTTCTTACCAAAAATTTTCCTTTGGTTATAACAGTCGTGATCTCCAACTTCGACGTATCCCGAATACTGATTGATGGCAGAAGTTCTTGAAATATTATGTATGCAGATTTATCTCTTCGAGAAGATGGGATTGAAGAAAGAAAATTTGTGGCCTTATAAAGGGTCTGATCGGCAAGCCTTCAACGACACCGTAACCCTCTGACCCTGGATGCAGAGGCATCCCCAGTTCACCTCAATTTGAAGTACCACAACACACATAATAAGTCGGCAACAATCGATGTTGATCTTTCAGAAGTGAAAAGGATTTGCAAGGCCCTTTAGGAGGGATTTGAAGAAGGTGAGGTTAAGGCCGTGGAAATCAACATGGCTTTTTGATCGGGCAACTGGAACACATGGCCATCAAGCCTCCTACGAGTATCACGATTCGTCTAGACTAGACAAAAAGAAGTGGGTGATCGTAATTGATCCTGGATAACAATTTCCACACGACCAACAAGCGACAATTATCCAACCCAAATATTTTAACTTTATTTTCTTTTATTTTGTAAAAATCAAGATGCATTACAATCGTTCAATTAAAGGAATTTTCACTCCCTAAATCATCTTTTATCCTTCAGATTATGAAAAGTAATTATAATTTCAGGGAACAACCAAAGAGATTGAAGCACCATCATAAAGACTCAAGGGTGATGCTGCAAACGCCACATGATTATGACAAAAGCAATAAAAATCCCATGATACCAACATTCACACACACATAACACCTATACACACATAACACCAACACACATAAAGAAATCAAGCCTAAAAATGGCAAATAATTGAGTCACCCCTTCTTGATAGTTAACCACTTGAGAGACAATAGTGGGTCAGACAATGCGTCAACCTCATACCAAATTTTCACCTGGGGACATGGGTAGGGGTACCGATCCTTGGTCAGGCATGGTCCCTGATGTGAAAAAAATATTTTGATGAAATATTTTTTCCTTTGTAAGGATGTGATATTACCTGTGTAACCATTCCATACATTTATTTTATTGATAATTTGGTTATATGTTCCACAGGTATAATTTCTCAGTCTCTCTTCGCATAAAGTTTAACTAAAACACAAAGCAGTTTGCCGCTAATCTATTGAGTGAGATCAATAGTTTCCGTCTACGAAGTTGAAATTGTATGATAATCATTAAAGAAACTCTATTAGATAATAACCTCCCCTTCTCGATTAAAAAAAAAATATTAGAGATTTACATAAATCTGACTTGAGTCAGAACTAGAGGAAAATCTAGAAAAAGAAACTCAGAAGTGGTAATTCCAGTTCCTGGTTATCCAAGTTCTTAAACGTTGATTCTTGATTTTGCTGTGTATGATGCTTTCTCACCATTTTAATGCATATTGTGTATTATGGGGTTTGGATAACTTGCCTAGAACTGTCTTGATGTATTATGATAACTTTCTGTCATCCCCTGAGGATACTTTCACACAGTCATCTGTAATGCTGAGGATTTCGCAACACTACTGTGAACCATGACCTCATTTCATTTCATTTCATAGGACAACCTTCCAAAACAACGCCAACATTTCCTCACAATCAATGACTACCAGTTAATGGTGGACAGCAATGCTCCTTTTGCTAGGAAATTTGGCAGAAGTGAACCTGATATATGGTTCAATGCAAATGGTTAAGTGCCTGGTATATGGTTCAGAAAGCAAATTCAAGCATCACTAAACAGTATTCCATCGTAAGAGATATAACTGAACTTGAGCTTGGTACCGGAGCAGAAAGGCTGAAACAAATTATCAGTGTTCTTGACACAAATTAGTGTTCTTGACACCCGCGAAACCGAAAAAAATGCTAAATTGCTCTTTGCTACTTGCTCATCACCAAACAGATGAGAGGAAAAAGGTTGCTGTGAAATGAAAAATAAAAGATGAGTAACAAACTGGAAAACAGAAATGCCTATTTCTGATTTTACACTAATTTGTAGCCATAATGTATCAGCTAGTACATAAAAATCACAAAAGTTTAGTGCATGATGGATCATTATTGCAATTGTGGTACTCTGTATAACTAGAGCAAATTATGAAAGTAAATTAATAAAGCCTGAGAGGAAGATGTCTATAATGCTCACACAAGCCAGTATAAAATATCTCCAAATTCTTTATGCAATGATATGCTCTTAGGGGTGTGCAAAAAAACTGGTTTACACGAACCAATTTTAAAAATTCAGTGCACCAATTTTTATAATCCAATTTGTGTTGGATGTGAACCGCTTCAGATCCATTTTGATATCAAAATAAAAATCTGGTTTCCATTTTTCGTAACCAGTTGTCATACATAAAACCAAATGTATATGATATTATTATTAATGAATAAGGTATTATTAAGGTGCAGGAAATTCAAATTCATGTAAACCAGTTTATATAATATTCAAATTGAAAATGGAAAACCAGTTTATATATTTTATTTTATTTATTATTAATTAGTTAATTAGAGTGCTGATTAGTTAAGGGAAGAAGAACTTATTAAGTTAATAGTGATGAACGATTGTTAATCTGTGTTTTTTTGTTTAACTTTTATGGCGTAGCAATTGTTTTGAAGCAGATTTTGTCTTGGTTTTAGGATGTTTTGTTTTAATTTTTTTGGGTTCAGTTTTAGTGTTTTGGTGCAACTTTATCATGGATTAAAGTGTAATGTTTTTACTCTTGAATTGAATTTTACTTTTTTGCTTTTCAAAAAAATTGTGATAAACGATTTGTGCAGGTGTTTAAATATAATAGTATAAAAATGACACATGCCTTTACATCTTGTTCCCTTCATTAACCTGGATTTTTTTCGTCTCTTCAAATTAAGAAAGATACAATTTCCTTATAAACCAATTTTGATTGAAAACCGGTTTAAACCGGTTTTGAACCGAATTGAAACCATTTTACAATTTTAAATTGGTTATTATAAAAAACGGTTTGATTTTAAAACTAGAACCATTAAAATGGATTGGTTCTTAAAATTTGGTAACCATGCACACCCCTATATGCTCTAGTATTAACTCTTGACTTTA